GAAATGGAAATTAAAATACTGCATTGGAGATAAACTGGATGTTATTCATACACAAATGCATCATTAGGGTTTTTAGCCTATAGCCTATTGGACCTACACTCAGCGGCCAGTTTATTAGGTACACCCATCTAGTACAAGGTCAGACCCCCCTTTGCCTCCAGAACGGCCTGAATTCTTTGGGGCATGGATTCTACATGGAGTGGCATTCAAACACTGCTCAATTGGTATCAAGGGGATGTAGCTCAGTTGATAGAGCATGGCGTTTGGCAACGCCAGGGTTGTGGGTTCGATTCCCACGGGGGCCAGTATAAAAAAAATATGTATTCACTAACTGTAAGTCGCTCTGGATAAGAGCATCTGCTAAATGACTAAAATGCAATGTAAATGTAAAATGTAAGGGACCTAACGTGTGCCAGGAAAACATTCCCTACACCATTACAAGACCGCCACCAGCCTGTACCGTTGACACCAGGCAGGATGGGGCTATGGACTCATGCTGCTTACGCTAAATCCAGACTCGGCCATTAGCATGACGCAACAGGCACCGCGATTCGTCGGACCAGGCAATGTTTTTCCACTCCTCAATTGTCCAGTGTTGGTGATCACGTGCCCATTGGCCCCATCCTGCCTGGTGTCAATGGGACAGGCTGGTGGCGGTGGTGTAATGGTGCAGGGAATGTTTTCCTGGCACACGTTAGGTATGCTTCTTTTTGTTTTTAGCTGATAGGAGTGGAACCTGGTGTGGTCGTCTGCTGCAATAGCCCATCCGTGACAAGGACCGACGAGTTCTGCATTCCGAGATGCCGTTCTGCACACCACTGTTGTACTGCGCCTTTATTTGCCTGTTTGTGGCCCGCCTGTTAGCTTGCACGATTCTTGCCATTTTCCTTCGACCTCTCTCATCAACAAGCTGTTTTCGCCAACACAGGACTGCCACTAACTGGATGTTTTTTGTATGTCGCACCATTCTCAGTAAACCCTAAACACTGTTGTGCGTGAAAAGCCCAGGAGGCAGGCAATATCTGAGATACTGGAACCAGTGCGCCTGGCACCGACAATCATACCATGCTCAAAGTCACTTAGGTCACTTGTTTTGCCCATTCTAATGTTCAATCGAACAGTAACTGAATGCCTCGATGCCTGTCTGCCTGCTTTATATAGCAAGCCACGGCCAGGTGACTCACTGTCAGTAGGAGCAAACCATTTTTGTGAACTCACTGTCTGTAGGAGCTAACCATTTTCGTGAACTGTATAGGCCTAATGAATAGCCTACCCATCCGAGACTAGGCTTCTGTTTGTCTTAATGCATTGTTCAGAAAAAACACCCCGCCTCGTGGCTTGTCCTAAATGCTATAAATGCTGCATTTACAGTTCATAAATCCCAATCCCATCTGATACATTTTCGGATGCATTTTCACCGATAAAGCTATGACATAAAGGTTCTAGTAGGACTATGGCTGACATTGCAATAGCCTAGGCCTGTAGTAATAAATCGAATCAAAGTTTATTGGTTGTGCTTCTAGCTCCAATAGTGCAGTACAATACACACATTATCCAAAAGGAATTAATAAATATATGTAAATATAATGGTGTGTATAGACAGTATGGACAGTATATGAATAGAAAAGGTGTGTACAGCAGTAGTTACAGTATATAGGATGATGAGCATGACTAGAATACAGTATATACATATAAAGTGGGTAAAACAGTATGTAAACATTATTAAAGTGACCAGTGTTCAATGACTCTATGTACTACAGCAGTCTCTAAGGTGCAGGGTAGGGTACCGGGGTGGTAGCCGGCTAGTAACAGTAACTAAGGTTCAGGGCAGGGTTACCTTGTCCCAGACCTGCTGTTTTCCACTCTCCCTCTCTCTCGCTCTCCATTCAATTCAATTTCAATTTAAGGGCTTTATAGGCATGGGAAACGCATGTTAACATTGCCAAAGCAAGTGAAGTAGATAGTAAACAAAAGTGAAATAAACAATAAATATTAACAGTAAACATTACACTCAGAAGTTCCAAAAGAATAAAGACATTTCAAATGTCATATTGTGTATATATACAATGTTGTAACAATGTGCAAATAGTTAAAGTACAAATGGGAGAAAAAAATTAACATAAATATGGGTTGTATTTACAATGGTGTTTGTGCTTCACTGGTTACCCTTTTCTTGTGGCAACAGGTCAAAAATCTTGCTGCTGTGATGTCACACTGTGGTTTTTCACCCAGTAGATAAGGGAGTTTATCAAAATTGGATTTGTTTTCGAATTCTTTGTGGATCTCTGTAATCTGAGGGAAATATTTTTATCTAATATGGTCATACATTTGGCAGGAGGTTAGGAAGTGCAGCTCAGTTTCCACCTCATTTTGTGGGCAGTGTGCACATAGCCTGTCTTCTCTTGAGAGCCAGGTCTGCCTACGGCGGCCTTTCTCAATAGCAAGGCTAAGCTCACTGAGTCTGTACATAGTCAAAGCTTTCCTTACGTTTGGGTCAGTCACAGTGGTCAGATATTCTGCCACTGTGTACTCTCTGTTTAGGGCCAAATAGCATTCTAGTTTGCTCAGTTTTTTGTTAATTCTTTCCAATGTGTCAAGTAATTCTCTTTTTGTTTTCTCATGATTTGGTTGGGTCTAATTGTGTTGTTGTTGTTGTCCTGGGGCTCTGTGAGGTCTGCTTGTGTTTGTGAACAGAGTCCCAGGACCAGCTTATTTCTCTCTGTAGGTGATGGCTTTGTTATGGAAGGTTTGGGAATCGCTTCCTTTTAAGTGGTTATAGAATTTAACGGCTCTTTTCTGGACTTTGATAATTAGCGGGTATCGGCCTAATTCTGCTCTGCATGCATTATTTGGTGTTTATCGATGTATACGGAGGATATTTTAGCAGAATTCTGCATGCAGTCTCAATTTGGTGCTTGTCCCATTTTGTGAAATCTTGGTTGGTGAGCGGCCCCAGACCTCACAACCATAAAGGGCCAATGGGTTCTATAAATGATTCAAGTATTTTTAGCCAGATCCTAATTGGTATGTCAAATGTTATGTTCCTTTTGATGGCATAGAAGGCCCTTCTTGCCTTGTCTCTCGGATCGTTCACAGCTTTGTGGAAGTTACCTGTGGCGCTGATGTTTAGGCCGAGGTATGTATAGTTTTTTGTGTGCTCTAGGGCAACGGTGTCTAGATGGAATTTGTATTTGTGGTCCTGGCAACTGGACCTTTTTTGGAACACCATTATTTTTCTCTTACTGCGATTTACTGTCTGACAGAATCTGTGCAGAAGATCTAGGTGCTGCTGTAGGCTCTCCTTGGTTGGTGACAGAAGCACCAGATCATCAGCAAACAGTAGACATTTGACTTCAGATTCTAGTAGGGTGAGGCCTGGTGCTGCAGACTGTTCTAGTGCCCTCGCCAATTCGTTGATATATATGTTGAAGAGTGTGGGGCTTAAACTGCATCCCTGTCTCACCCCACGGCCCTGTGGAAAGAAATGTGTGTGTTTTTTGCCAATTTTAACCGCACACTTGTTGTTTGTGTACATGGATTTTTATAGTGTCGTATGTTTTTCCCCCAACCCCACTTTCCATCAATTTTAAGCAGACCCTCATGCCAAATTGAGTCAAAAGCTTTTTTGAAATCAACAAAGTATGAGAAGACTTTGCCTTTGTTTTGGTTTGTTTGTTTGTCAATTAGGTTGTGCAGGGTGAATACGTGGTCGGTCGTACGGTAATTTGGTAAAAAGCCAATTTGACATTTGCTCAGTACATTGTTTTCACTGAGGAAATGAACTAGTCTGCTGTTAATGATAATGCAGAGGATTTTCCCAAGGTTGCTGTTGACACATATCCCACGGTAGTTATTGGGGTCAAATTTGTCTCCACTTTTGTGGATTGGGGTGATCAGTCCTTGGTTCCAAATATTGGGGAAGATGCCAGAGCTAAGGATGATGTTAAAGAGTTTAAGTATAGCCAATTGGAATTTGTGGTCTGTATATTTTATCATTTCATTGAGGATACCATCAACACCACTTGCCTTTTTGGGTTGGAGGGTTTGTATTTTGTCCTGTAGTTCATTCAATGTAATTGGAGAATCCAGTGGGTTCTGGTAGTCTTTAATAGTTGATTCTAAGATTTGCATTTGATGATGTATATTTTTTTGCTTTGTTCTTTGTTATAGGGCCAAAAAGATTGGAGAAGTGGTTTACCCATACATCTCCGTTTTGGATAGATAGCTCTTCGTGTTGTTGTTTGTTTAGTGTTTTCCAATTTTCCCAGAAGTGGATAGAGTCTATGGATTCTTCAAATACATTGAGCTGATTTCTGACATGCTGTTCCTTCTTTTCCGTAGTGTATTTCTGTATTGTTTTAGTGATTCACCATAGTGAAGGCTCAGGTTTTCTGGGTCTCTATGTTTTTGGTTGGATAGGTTTCTCAATTTCTTTCTTAGGTTTTTGAAAGTTTGAACATCTTGAAGAAAAATCTGGCCTTAATGGCCATGTACTAATATAATCGCTACCTGGCACAGCCAGAAGCGGAATGGCCACCCTTCAGAGCCTGCTTCCTGTCTAGGTTTCTTCCTAGGTTCCTGCCTTTCGTGGAGTTTTTCCTAGCCACCATGCTTCTACATCTACATTGCGTACTGTTTGGGGTTTTAGGCTGTGTTTCTGTATAAGCACTTTGTGACATCTGCTGATGTAAAAATAGCTTTATAAATATATTTGATTGATTGATTGATGACTAAATCGTTATATTTAGGAAGTCAGTGTGCTACAATGGTTTCATAGTAGCCTACCGTGTCGCTCTTCCGCTACTTTGTAATAAGAATTTAGATGATGACGTAATCCTTTGGGAATTTAACTCCACCTCCATCCAGTGAGAGTGAACAGACTAATCTGATTGGCTCAATGACCACTCAGAAGACGTCTTGTCCAATCAGATTCGAAAACGATGAGTAAGACGTTTAATACTGATACAAAGGAAGTCTCGCGGGATTTAACGTACGGAAGCTCACTTACGTCAGTCCCATGATGGCTGAAGATCCTGGAGGAACATTTTTCAATTTCTCTACCACCTTTTTCTTTTTCTCTTTACCTCTGCTTGTCATAGAGACATGGCAGGATACACAGCCTCGATAAGCGGCCACAGACCCTTATTACCGTCATGCCCAAGAAAGGGAACCGAAAACGGCTGAAATTTCGGGCCGGGGACGTCTGCTCGGAGTCAGGTACTGTAGTTAGCTAGCTTGCTAAAGCTAACTTGTTGACCGGACCGGCTAACAGGCCGCCGTACGTTATCAGTGCAGTGGTGCGCAGAGTGGGTGGGTCCTCGAGGACGAAAGTCAAACCACCCTATTACCATCATTAATAGTAAATCAATTGCTTGTGAATATTCAGGAGGATTGCAATGTTAGCCATAAAAATAGGACGTTCAGATATAAATATTTAGGCCTATTTTTGGTGGATGTCAGTCAGACATACCCACCAGTTGAGCGTAAAAAAGTTGGTCTTCAAATTAAATGCTAGGTTGGGCGTAGCTACGTCCGATTTTGGGATCAGAATTTACACCTGTTGCACCAACCAAAAATAAAACTAGTCGTAGCTAAATCCGGTGTAAGCAATGCGCGTTCATGACAATTTTATGTTTTATAATAATGGTTACTAGGCAGTGCTCCAATGCGTGCACGTTTTCTTAACCATAACTGGATGGATCAATCAATAATTACTGTTGGAATGAATATCACTGAATGACTAAAATATTGGAATAAAGTAGGCGAATGCCATTGAAGGCATTTCTCATATTGTTCCTTACTGAAGCTCCCAAAGTCATCCAACCGTTTTAAATACTTTAAATCAATAGCCGTGTGTGGTGAACTATAATTTCAGCACTTTATGATTGGGACAGCGTTATCGCGCTGGATTGAGACAAATGTGGGTAAATCATTCAATGTCAGATTTTTGTTTTCACGTAATCTCCGTTTGGATATTTGATTGCAATTAGGCTGGGAAAATGTTAGCCAAATTGAGGTGAGTGTTCATGATGATTATCGTAAGTCTAGTTTTCTCGTCTAACAGTGTTATTATAACATTTTGCTAACATGTTAGCCTACTCTAGCATAGTATAAAAGGCGGATTATTTTGCTCTTCACTCGTAAAAGCCCTTGACTTGTCTGATAATCAATCAATGTGATTTTGTTTCACTGAATCTCGGTCTGTATATTTGGTTATTTGATCTCTGTCTGGGCAAATAATAGCGGACTAAACTCAAATTCCATGGTGAAGGAAGTCCGCTAGGCAAATAAATGGAGGTGGCAGCTCATCTATTAGTTTGCTAAAATCTGATGAGACACATTTAGAAAAGCCTTGGAGGTTGTGAAATATGAACACGAGACTCACATCCTTTTGAAAATATAGATTGCTATTATTTTCTGTGCATATCATGAAAGAAGATCGTCCCAATTGCACCGTACTCCTGCGCCCTACTAGGCGTAGTTCATAGAAGGGCTTACGCCCAGGGGGTGCAACAGGTATAATTTTTAGGTCTGGCATAGAGCACATTTTATGTCGGACGTAGAGTTACAAACAACTGGTGCAACCAGCCCCACTACTAGGGCACATCTCAGTAGTGTAGCTAGACTTATTCTCCTCCTTGTCTTTCTTCCTCTGCAGTGTCCTGAAAAAGGTGCAAGTCTTTGTTCCAGCCGGTTTGAGGGCATTAAATCTGTGATGCATTGTGGGTAAAGTAGTTAATTATGATGTAAAGTGTTTTGTTGATCAGTCAGTAGGCAGTCGCCTACAATGTCAAACAAGCCCAAAGCCAAAAGTGTCTGACAATGCTTTCACCTAACCAGGGCTTTCAGGTCAGTGCAGAAAAAGGAAAAGAGATGAGGGGAGCAAGAAGTTGTAAATTAGGACTATTGAGATGCTCCTCATGCCACTCTTTGCTATTGTGAGTGATTGGTAAAACGTATCTTCTCCCCTCTCTTGCAGTGACGGTTGCTGATTTCGCCAATGCCGACCCAGCCGTTGTGAAGTCAGGGAGGGTAAAAAAGGCTGTTGCCAATGCAATTGAGAAAGAAGGTAAGAGCATCATTCAAAAAGTTCAGATTTGTTCTACGAACAGTATTGCACTTACTAACTTCCCACTGTTTGTCCTGCAGTGAAGTTGTTGTGTGGACTTGAGGGGTCGCAGGGTTCCGTACAGGAGGTGTTCTCGTCAGCATCCACCCTCACCGGAGACACCCTAGAGAGTAGCGACGACCTCGACCCCGGGGAAGATGGAGAGAACGAGGCCAAACAGGCCCGCAAGAAGAAAAACAAGAGGAGGAAAGGTACACTTCACCGCCGCCTCTAGTCATGCATTGGAAGAGAGTTGAGGGCTGCGTTTCATTCCAGAGGGTTGCTCCCTTTCCCCTGTACTCGTTCATGCTCCTTCACAGATGTTATACAGTGCAACTGGGTAGGTATTAGCAATAGGCTGTAAACTAGGCCATCTTTGCTTTCACCTATCCAGTCGTCTCAGATCCGTAAGGGGAAGTGAACAGGGACAGATAGGAGTGAACAACAATAATAATATAATAATAATAATAACAACTTTCCTGAATATAACAGCCCATCGTTTGATTGACTGTATCTGTTTTTCCAGAGTGTAGTGAGTGCAGTGATGGGGAGGACTACACAGTGGATATCTGGCTGGTGCTGGCTTCCTATATCCGTCCAGAGGATGTGTGTACATTTGCTCTGATCTGCAGAAACGCCTGGACCGTCACCTGCACTGCTGCCTTCTGGACCAGACTATATAGGAGGTAGGGTTAGACCCTCTCATTCCCACAACCTATATTCTAGGTGGGCTCTTGAAAGTTGGCACCTGAAGGAGAGGTACCCTAGTTTTCTTATTTACATATGTTGTTTCCCGGCCTCTCCCCCTCTCTCTCAATTTCACCTCCCTTCCTCCTCCTCTCTCTCTCTCTCACTCCCCCATAGACACTACAGTGTGGATGCTCACCTGCCATTCCGTTTGCAGCCAGACTCAATAGCCAGGAAACGTTGTCTACGGGCTCGCGTGATTCGCTCCCTCTTCCACCTGTATGAGCCATTCAGCTCACGTGTCTCCCTGAACCCTGCCCTCCCAGAGTCCACGCCCACCATGCTACTCAACTCCAAGGTAAAGAACCAAAATGGCGCCAAGCGGGGAAACAGGCTAGTGATTGTGCCAAAGAACTGTATGGTTTGAGGTTCTGGTCTTCTTATTTGGATCACTTGATCTGTGCTATAACTCACTAATCCTGGTCCATCAAATTCTGGCATTAATGTCCACTTGACACTTGGGCAATCCAATGCTAAGAAATGTTTTACCCATTTTCTCCTCTGCAGTGTCTGCTGTTCTGGGTCAGTAAGGTTGTGGGCACTCGACCTGATCCCATGTGGGAGTTCAACTTCAAGTTTGTGAAGCCGGTATGTATTCATGCCGAACTGTCTGAAGGACACTAGTGAAGCATGTTTACTTTGAATTTAAAGTAAAACATTTAATTGTAATCAGGGGTACCGTAGTTTATATAAGTTTGTCTCTCTCTCCGCTAGGTGGTGAGGTGTAAGGGTGGCAGTGCCACCCGGGGTCTGCTGTTGCCCCGTCAGTATGAGGAGGTCCATGCTAACCCAGATTCAGGCTGCTACCTGCTGCAGGTCACCACCCTGAACTTCATCTTCACCTCTGTCGTCATGGGGATGACCCTCGCCCTGGTCTGTATACTAGTCTTTCTGGCTTTCACACTGAATTGACTCTTTGTTGTCTCCATCCATGAAGTTGCATTGTTAAAGGCCCAGTGCAGTCAAAATTCAGTTTTTCCTATGTTTTGTATCATATTGTACAACAGCTGATGAAATGAAGACTGTAAAAGGGTGAACAAATGTGATCAGTGTTATTTCCTGATAGTTGCTGGTTGAAAATACAATTTACACACCTAATCAGCAGGTATTGCATGGGTGGAGTTTTGGCTTGCCTGGTGACATCACCAGGCGGTATAAGTTAATAGACCTTGAGAAATAGTTATTTGCCAAAAGCGATTTGTTTCTTTTTGACCATTTGAATTAAAAGCGACTACAGTCAGATACTCTATTGTTACCCAGAAATTATTTGATATTGAGATAAAAGAACAGCTGCATTGGGCCTTTTTTAAATCACATTATGTGGTTGTAACTCGTAGAGTGGGCCTCTTTTAGGATAGGGGAACCTGTGTCTCCGGTCTGTCTAACCCACTATGTCTGTCTCTGTTCCCTTCCCAGTTCAACATCAACGTGAGCACAGACATGCGTCACCACCGAGTGCGCCTGGTTTTCCAGGACTCTCCCCCCCAGCGGGGGAGGAGTAGGGGGGAGCAGGGGGGGACACAGGTGGTGCTGGACCCTGTACACAGCGTGAGACTCATGGACTGGTGGCATCCACAGTACCCTTCCTCCCCCTATATCTAAAACCCACCTCTCCTCACGTGTAGAACCCTCTTATTATCCCACATGCTCCACACATTACACCCCTTTACTCTTAAAACCCTTATTGTACCCATCTGCCTGTACACCTAGAACGCCCAATACCCCCTTACACCAAAAACCATCCACATTACCCTGTCTCCCTGGACAGCCAGAACCTTGCTTGATCTCAACCTTCTACAGCCCTGACACCAAAAACCACCTACCTCCTCAGTACCCTAGCTCTCCATAGACAAACCCTCAATACCTTCCAATCCCCCCACATTGCCTATCTTTGGATCACCCTACACATTTATGTTGAAAAGATGCAGAGACAATGTCATTTCTTTTAATATTTCCTCCTTTCTGAAACTGCTAAATCTTAGTTTAAGGCCATTTTTAAATGGGAGACCTTTGATTTTACATTTTAATTTGACTTTAATTCTAGGGTCCAAAATTATGATTTGCTGCTTGTGTAATTGTATTTTATTTGATACCTCTAATCATTGGTGCTTTTTAAACCCCTACTCCTGATTCGTCCCCTGTGTATCCTCCTCAGGAAGGAAGGGGAGATCTGAAAGCTTGTAATGGGAGCAGCATTTTATATGCTGCTTATGTCTGTGTTAGAATGTTTCTGATTGGGTTTATGAACACAAGGCCAGTCTTCTATGTAAACAATGATCAGTAGAAGCATGCCAATCATGCTTAATTTCTAACGAGGGGTGGCATTTGAAGAATCAACATGTAATACCCACAGGAGACTGTATGGCAGCTCTGTTTCAGTTCTACTGTTCACTCATCGTCCAATCAAAATGCAGTTAAGAACATTTAGTGTTTGATTTTAGTTTGAATTTCGAAGTTCATTATCGTGTGTGTAGTGGAAAGCAAAGCTTTTTTTGATGATCAGACTTGAAATTGCTTTATTGTGAATGAATGTATAGCTGGTTGACCTTGTGAGGGACATATGTATGTTTGACTGTGAGAGCCAACCATAATATCAGTCCCCATGTAAAGCCTGTGGATGCTGTCTGTATGTGATGTGATTGTTTGGTCAACCTCCTGTACTGAAATACAACTGGAAAGAACCCCCTCCATATATATATATTTTTGTAAGATTTTGTTTTTACAGATGTAATTAGACAATAGACATCAACTTAACATTTCCACAGACATAGATCCACAAAACTAGACATGGCATTGGCAAAGACTGAATATAACCTCCTACATGCTGTGTTGTATTTATCAATACAAATGGTGTTTCCTACTATCATAAGTTTGGCATATGGTGATACCTACTTAAAATGTAGATGTTTTCAATTTGAATATGTAAATGTGGATATACAGTACCTAGTCCTGTCATGTGTTTCCTTGATAATAGTGTCCTCTTGTGGTAACATGGAAAATGTAAAAACTTTGAAGCACATTGAGAAAGGTTGCTTGTACATTGATTTATTTGATAGATTTTTGGGTAAAACTATTTGTACAGTTTAAACTATAAAAGTACAAAGAAATCCCAGAAGAACACACATGAAATCGCAATGTTGATATTAGATTGTTGAATTACAGAAAATGACACCTGATGCGGCATCCACAAAGACGGTAGGGCGAGACCCGCTAGGGCAGGGTTCCCCAACTGGTGGCCCGTTTTTTATTTGGAGCCCCAAGTTTTCTGAGAGGGAAAGAAATAAGCATTTATTTAATTTTTTTGACATAGAAGACTAAAAACACCAGAAAATCAGCTTAAATTGATTTTAATTTTGGAAATCTGTTCCAAAGTATTCCCACACATAATGGAGATCTACACTCAGTGGCCAGTTTATTAGGTACACCACCCCATTCACGAAAATGCTTTGCTCCTACAGACAATGAGTCACGTGGCTGTGGCTTGCCATATGTATAAAGCAGGCAGACATCGAGACATTCAGATACTGTTCAATTTTTTATGTTAGAATGGGTCAAACAAGTGACCTAAGCTACTTTGACCGTGGTTATGATCGGTGGTGCCAGGCGCGCCGGTTCCGTATCTCAGAAACGGCCAGCCTCCTGGGATTTTCAAGCACGACAGTGTAGGGTTTCCTGAGAATGGTGCAACAAACAAAACATACAGTCAGCGGCAGTCCTATGGGCGAAAACAGCTCGTTGATGAGAGAAGTCAAAGGAGAATGGCAAGAATCGTGCAACGTAACAGGCAAATAACGGCACAGTACAACAGTGGTGTGCAGAACGGCATCTCGGAATGCACAACTTGTCGGTCCTTGTCACGGATGGGCTATTGCAGCAGACGACCACACCAGGTTCCACGCCTATCAGTTAAAAGCAAGAAGTGGCTCCAGTGGGAATGTGATCACCAAAACTGGACAATTGAGGCGTGGAAAAACATTGCCTGCTCCGATGAATCCCAGTTCCTGTTGCGTCATGCTGATGGCAGAGTCAGGATTTGGCATAAGCAGCATGATGTCAACGGTACAGGCTAGTGGCCGTGGTGTAATGGTGTGGGGAATGTTTTCCTGGCACATGTTAGGTCCCTTGATACCAATTGAGCAATGTTTGTTTGACACACCTTGTAGAATCCATAACCTGAAGAATTCAGGCTGTTTTGGAGGCAAACGGGGAGTCCAACCCTGTACTAGATGGGTGTACATAATAAACTGGCCAGTGAGTATGTGATTGAATACAATTGTAAGCAAGGTTTAAAGTGATTATGTTTTAGTCAAATAATATATCTGTTTGGGCTTATTGTGGTCAAGTTGCAGTCTACAAATTATTTGTAATTATGTTCAGGCCCCCTGACCATGCTCTAGAAAAAATCGTCCTGCGGCTGAATTTAGTTGATGATCCCTGCCCTAGGGCCTAGGCTACCTGATTCAGGATGATATTGGCCTTGCATCTACGCTGAAACAGAGCCATTCAGTTTTAATACCATACTATAATTGCAACACACAAGCACGCATTAGTGGGAGGGAAGGTGTGCACTATGGAGGACTAAAAGTGCCACAATTAAATAAATAAATACACCATTAAATAATTACTTAAATGTGTCATTAATTAATTAAAATTAGAATTAAATACATAAATGTGTAATTAAATGTATCATTAATTAATTCAAATACCGATTCATTTTATGTAAAATACATATATAATTATTTCACTATTTACATTTACATTTCATGATCCTGCATTGCAGTGATTCATGAATTACTTAAAACTGTCAAACTGACCCATCAAAAGTTGGTAGGCGGAACCTAACGCCTGATTGGTTACCCTCTGCATCAAGCCAAGACAAATCAATTCCGGATGATGGATTGATGCAGAGCTACTGAACACATTCCAATACACTGGGTGGCGCTATTCACCTTCAATAAGTTCCTCTGCTTTACTAGCTACATGCTCTGGGTCAGCAGGTCCTGCTTCTACATCCTCTGCTAAATTTAAAATGTCTCTAACCAACTCCCTGGAAAGTTCACGGAGATCCTCCATTGTCTCTATCCAGGTTGGCCTACTCTACTTCAGACCAAAGCAATGGATCAGACTAGATTCGCGTTAGCCCCGCCCACTGACTTTGATGGGTCAGTTTGACAGTTTTAAGTAATTCATGAATCACTGCAATGCAGGATCATGAAATGTAAATGTAAATAGTGAAATAATTATATATGTATTTTACATAAAATGAATCGGTATTTGAATTAATTAATGATACATTTAATTACACATTTATGTATTTAATTCAAATTTTAATTAATTAATGACACATTTAAGTAATTATTTAATGGTGTATTTATTTATTTAATTGTGGCACTTTTAGTCCTCCATAGTGCACTATTGTACACCTATGCTTCATTTGAAAAATGGTCAGGCAGTCAGGAATGAGTGACTGTTAAAGGCAATCCTGGCGCTACCATGTGCTGCATGCACTGACAGTCAACAGGCATAACGTCACTCCCCCGAAAATACCCCTGTCCAACAGAACTACATCACCAAGAATTCCCCTCGCGCTCTGCCATTGGTGGCCGGAGTTGTCACAAGTGCACACAGGTGACCAGGGACGCTCCAAACATCACAGCCAGCGGAACGAAAACAATCAGCAGCTGGAGAGCCACGGGAGAGTAGCAGCCATTCTACTGAAATTATAACAACACACAAAGACGCCCGTAGTATGTGTGTGAAAGTCCCAGTGGTTCCGCCGAAAGTATCGGAGTGCACTGGTGGAAGAGCCACCTAGTTTCCCGAACCTGACTCCAACTTCGTATCGTCTGACCTTCATAGCGGGTAAGTGATATTCCACGGCTGAACTTCTGCTGCGCACTCACACCGCACCGCAAATCCACCTCAAATGGGCCAACTCTGGAAAACTCACTGGGTTGCATGTATTGTGCGCCATAGTTCATTTTCACTTTGAAAATAGATTTCATGGTCATCTTGAAACAATGAAAGTAATTTAGCTCGAGCGCTCATTGACACTGCTAGATAAAATGGCATGGGTTTTTATAAATAGGACCTATAGTTTTAGTGCATTTAAAACACATTTAATATAACATTATTTGCCTAAAACAGTAGGCTAGGCAACTACATTTATTTGTTGATTTAAAGTTGGTAGTCTAGTCAGCCTATTCAATTGTAAAGTTATTGGTATTTTTCTTAAAATATTGACAGCTACAAACATGGTATGATCAATGTTTATGCTATATTTTAGTGCACTTTCCTGAAATGTCAAATTCAATATCCTACACAGATGCCTTTGCCATTTATGACCAACCTCTGGTTTCCGTTCAGAGACACTCTATCCAGAGCTATGCTGCTGCTATGTACAAACCGTGTTTGTGATACTCATCTTATGTAACGAGAACTTTGCTGGAAAGCCTCGCGCAGGGGACCAAACAGAGACGAGCGCAGTCAAGTCCCCGAGCAATGGTCGCTCCTTCGCGCGAGTTTGCCGCTTTACTTACAAACAGGGTGTATTTGCGCCAGCGTGTTTGTTGTATGTATGTGTGTGTGTGTGCGTGCATGTAGGCCATCATGAAGTAGGTTATGTGTGTTTCTGTACAGCAGGAGGATAGTTTTACATGGGTTAAGTTGCGCGATGTGAATATTGGTCACTGGGCTGTATGGTGTTTGCTTTAACTCGAACAACCTACGCGAGTGCCAAAGGCCTCTCATATCGAGTGATGTCACATTATGGGTGGTGGTGGTCTTACAATACTTGACTGCTGCACCCAATGTAATTTGTTTGGTTTTACCTGTTGAATATTTAGGCAAGAGATGCAGTGCTTTAGCAGTCCCCTCTCTCTCTCTCTTTCTCTCTCAGGGTGGAGTGGTTTCTCTCTCCTCATCCCCTCTTTTTTTCCTACTCCTTATTTTTCCCTCAGTGGGGAGCGATATTGCTCCAACACTCACCACGCTGTAGTCCATACTAGGTCTGTATGCAATATATGTAATACCATGCATTGTAATACCACATTGTAATATGTAATAACACACAATGAGACCCAGAGGACTGTTGCCTGACCCACCACTGGTACATTTGATCATTCAGGCCATTTAAGACAATAGTGTTGAAAGGTAATTTGGTCAGGCCTAGTCAACCGGCCTATTGTCCATCTCACTAATATCTGACTATACACAACTGACCCCTTCTGTTTTAGATGAAATCTCCCATTCTCACCCTGACTCAACTACTTTCACTATTAGGCCATTTCTCAGAAATGTCTTCATCAGTGTGACCTCAAAGCAACTTACTCACATGTATTCATATTCATATAGCCAACATCAGCAGGAGACAAGTCAAGTTTCAAGCAGAACCTTCCTTTTTGGAAGTAGTGGCAGACAGTTAAACTGGTATAACTCACAAGTAGGTACTAACTTTCTGTAATTATATATCAAATATGTATTTCTACAGGTAGCAGCACAGGAATGTAATATGGTGAACATGCAGTAGACTAGACCCAAACTCTTTAGATTAGGATATCACTATTTGAGGAATGTGGATAGATGGACCTTTGTTTGGACGTGGAGGGATGCATCTTATAAGCCCTGCCTGCCTGCCTGTCTGTAACATTCCCAACATCCCCTCTGTTCTTTCATACAGGATGACAAACCTAACTTTGCCTGTGACCTGAGGACCTAGGGGTAATTTAAAGGCTTTAGCTTGTGGGGTTAACATGGTCTTGTGTCCTATGGATGAGCGGGGTTCGACACCCGATGAGATGTAAATATACTGTAAATTGAACACAATGTGCAGGTGAATGAGGCTGAGGTGAGATCAGATAGATGTGCTACTGAATACAGGGAGCCTCTTCTCCTCTCTGTGATCACTGTTCAAGATGAACAACAAGTCACAGACCATTCACAGCTACCTACAGCAGTGGCAGAGCAAGCTCCACTCTCTGCTGCGTTAGTGCACACATACACACACACACTTGAGTGCTAACAGGTTCAGCTGG